ATTTTAGTTTAATATAGTTTGAAACCTAGTAATTTCCATCGAAGTTTACACTACCACCATAGCTTCAATGTCAGCTTGTGGTAGCCCAATTTCCTTACCCAACACCCTCAACGGTCCTTCATCGAACAACTGAAAGTCCTTATTTAACTCACCTAGGTCTGTGCCTATGTCATCCACCGGTAAGTCCACTGGCGCTAACACATCTGGAATCCGGGGCAGAATGTGCTCCTCAACCAGGTCCAGTACATCCTCCTGGCGCATTCGTTCAATACGCTCCTTCATCACCTGAAAATGCGCTGTCGCTGCTGCCACATATTGCTTCTGCATTACACTAGACAACGCAGCCGTTACATGTACAATATTCATCTGACGCCGCGTCCTCGCCTGCGTGTCATTCCGCTCTGCCTTAGCTTTCCATGGACGACATTTTCGAGCCAAAGCCCATACCCTCCATCCTTGATTTGGTGTCAGCACAGTTTCCGGCTTGACCAACACCTGCTTCCTTGGTAACAGTGCTCTCGCTACCAATTCAGGCTTCATTGCATCATGCAACAAAAAGTCCATCCTATCTCCATTCTGCATTAGCACCAATCGCTTATTGTTATCCAACATCAAGTTTAGGCCATCCTTAACCACGGTATCGTGACTAATCAACACATCCGTCCTCATCGGCAGCGAACCCACTACAAGCATCCTCATCACAGGTTGCAAGAATCGATCGTGTCAACTCTTCATCTGTACTGGTGCCTTAACCACCCCTAAGGGTGCAACCGTTCCCATTTCAGCAACACCTTCAAACGGCAGATCCATGTATCTAGCCACATCCAGACCAGCTCTACTTGCCAACTCTTTTGTAATTAGATTGGGCGTAGCACCCGAATCTGCGTACACGGTTATAGGAATCCCTCCTATCTCTCCTGTAATAACACTACCTCTGTCAGCCGTGGCTTTGTCTAACACTGCTGCCCCTACAGCACCTACCTCTGAAAAAGAACCCATTAGTCAGTTCTTAGTCTCTGTGGCTGCAGGTTTGTCACAGTTAGCCCTGATATGCCCTTTTGTGTTGCAGTTAAAACACACACGTCGTTCTTCATAGTTGTCCAGCCTACCACCTGTTCGACGCCTACGTGGATTGATCCTTTTGGACAGCTTGTCGAATTTATCGTCTATCTTCTGAAACCTATCACCCAGTCTGGTAATAGTGGCTACTAAATCAACATCCTCAAAGCCTCGCTTGGTGCCAGTAGATGCTCCATCTCCCTGTACCCCATCTCTATCTTGACCACCTTCATTCTGGTATGTCGACCTATTGGCCTTCACCCTCCGAGGTGGTACTCCTCTTGCTGCATGCCTACGCGATGCAGACACCTTCTCTTGCACGTCAAAGTGCCCTACCACAAAGGTTAGGCCTCCCTGACGATACTGCATTCTTAGCGCCGCTACAGTCTCTGGCGCCACTTCCAAAAAAAGGGTGTCCAAAAACCTAGGCATCGCCTCATGCAGTTGATCCAAAGAAATTCTCACAAATTTCATAAACTCTGGAAATTCATGCAATAGCCTATGGCGTACCGGCCCAGTGTACCGAACTTCGACACCTGACTCATGTAATCCGCCAGAATACCTGAGTTGTTGTGCCGACTTGTCATTTTCGCCAGGCCCACTCTGATGTTATCATATCTTCCAATAATATTCAAGTAGCTGTGGCTTCCACGGGCAGATTCCCTCTGAGCCAAAACAAAATCTTTCATGGCATCAAATAGCTGTTGCCCAAGCTCTCTCCTCGGGTCACCTGCTGCTCCTGCCGCAGCTGCTGCCGTGGTATTTCTTGTAGTTGCTGCGCTGCCTGTCCTGTCGCCCATCACCAGCGAGTAAGGATCCAACGGATCAGTATCACGATCCTCCCCTGCAGAAGCACGACTCCCAATCAGCTCAAACAGGTGCCAACCAACAATGCTCATGAAGGCATAGTCCGAAAACTCACGAACCACCTTAAACGGCTCCTCTTCATTGTCCTCCAACACAATGCTCCCAGCCCTCTCCCTGAGCTGCGTTGCTGGTGACTGGTGACAAGGCTCCAAGATTGCTGCCTCTCGCGACAGTACGTACCACTCAATCATCTCAACCTGCATCAATTCCGGG